TATTTTTTATTAGGGTACGGTCTTCCAATCTTCCTAGTGAAGATAATTAACAACTATCTATCGAACAGGACGTTCCGAGTCTCTCTGAATGGCATCACATCGAATGCTTTCACAAGGAAGCATCCTTGGCCCCATTCTATTTAACCTGTTCACCTCCGATATACCGGCTCTCCTTGATGGTGGCTCGTTGTCTCTGTTCGCAGATGACACATCCATTGTCTACAAGGGTAGGGTCAACCGGTGAACACTCGTGTTTATTTCAGTTACCGTGGGGACGTAATTTGTGATTAGTCCCGGTCCCTTTCAAATTGTATCATTATTTATGTACGGTCCTTATATTTGAAATGACATGTCACACGAGGTGTCACATTCATCTAGCCGATTTTTATTCGAATAATCGATTAATCGATTAACGAACCGAAAAGTAAAATATTTGTAATCGGTTATATCATGCCGATATAAGCATTAACTTCTCCAGATCATCACCGATCGTTTGAAACGTGTGCTGCACTCTCATTGCTGGAAAAATGACAGCACAGCAAACAACAAATAATCGATTAGTTCCCTAATAAAAATAACCATAAAAGAGAGCTTAACGACGTGTTCGGGGTATCATCCAAACCATTTGTGAGATAGTTTACCCATTAGTTCGTTTATGGTATTTGTTTATTAGGGTTGTTAATCGAGTAATTTAAAAATAGGACATCTCTGATATTGGTGTGATTGTTTTGATCAAATTGAGCGCAAAATTTCATCTCTAACGAGGGGGTAGAAAAACCACAAAATTGCCTTGCATACGTGGGTATTCATTGGATGCCGGCGCCGGTGGTGTAGTGGTAAGCGTGACTGCTTTCTAACACCCCAATGGGTCTGGGTTCAATCCCAGCCGAGGTCGGTGGGATTTTTCTGAGGCATAAAAATCTCTGGTCACGTCTTCCTTCGGATGGGAAGTAAAGCCGTTGGTCCCGGCCCATGTGTCTTGTGAATGGGTGCGATATCCTACGCAGGTGTGGAAGCTGCCTTCCTGCACATTCGGTTGCCGTCAATGGATGGCAATCGATGTCCGTCGGTGATTGGCACTAGATTGCGGAACAGAGACCGACGTTAAATAAAGGAAAAAAAAATCATTGAATGAAAGGGACCGTGAAAGAGGACACTATAATAGATAGTTTTTCTTCCAACAGTTGTGACAATTTCCTTGTCACTTGGATAATTGTCGGATAATTAAGTTATCGAAAATACTGAACGCAAATAGGGTCAATTCAATAGCGCATCGGTACCACATAAAAAGAACGTGAAGTCTGCATTCATCTAACATAACCCAATGACAAAAGACAGAGGAAGGTGGGGTGTGCTGCTAAATAATAGTAACGGATTGCACAGCAAGCTTACATCTATTCTTTAACCATACATACAAATTTCTCCTCTCACAAAAGCATTTCTACTTTGCTCTATCGGTGGGGGCCCCGTGATGATGATACAACTGCACTTCTGCCACCAATGTCACTCGTCGCACTGTTGACTGTTGCGCAACATTCAATGTCGTTGCGTTGCTTGCGCTGCTGTACCGTCGCGTGATGTTGTCGTGTATCATTAATTGTCGGGTGACAACTCACTGTTGCACGAATGTCGCACGTTATGGTGCTCTCCAACAGCTAATCTAGGAATGGGCGTTTTGAAACAAAAAATCGATGTTGTCGAATCGATTCTAAAACTGACTATAAAATCGATCCTCTAAAATATCGAAAGAAAAAAAAATCGATTCGAGTAAAATCGATTTTTTTTTAAATATTTGAATTATGCTTTATAATCTTCTATTAGACGAAATATTCCTCTTCCTGTTGTTTTAGTGTATGTGTGTGAGCATTTATTTGTATAAAACCAATTCACAAAAGCAATTGCACTCTATTTAAATATTGAAACCGAATTATTAAGAAATATTGCGAATATTTAGCTTCATAGTTAGAAATACCTAATTTTACATGTGACGGAATCCATCTTTGACATAAAAGATGAGACGTAAACAAACATGTAATGTAAAATTAAATGCTCCGAGACAAAAAAGTTCGTTACTCGACGAAAAATACGTTTTATTGAGTTGAATTTCACGTCTATTATGACACAATTTCATGTCAAAATTGACGCTCGTATATGTCAGGCTCAGAGCACCTAAATTTACATGATTTTTTCTAAGTGTGTTATTCAACTTCAACTCTATATCTGAGCTTTCAAAATCTTCTGTACACACTTAGAAATTTTTAAAGAAATCTGTAAAATTTTACCGAAATCTCAACAGCTGAACGTTCGGTAAACAGTTTCGCAGATTTCCTGTAATGTTTCACAATTATCTGTAAATTTTTCACAGATGTCTGTAAATAATTACAGGAAAACTGTAAAATTGTTTACCGAACGTTCAGCTGTTGAGATTTCGGTAAAATTTTACAGAAATCTGTTAAATAATCTTAGTGTGTAGGTATTAAAACTCACCTTTCCAATGTTTTTTTGCATCAAGGAGTGCGTGTTTTTTTGCAAACAAAAACAGCTGGATGAATTAGAAAGAATGGGTCCAAAGTACACACAACATAAAAAGTAACAAATACATAAAGCCCAAGATTGAAAGGGTGTTTAGCAAAATTTGAGGACGGTGAAATTAAAATCGCTTGATTTTAAATAAAAACATATTTTTGGGATAGTGAAATACCATTTTGTTTATCATTTTTTTCAAGAATTCAATGATAACATTTGATTTAACATAATAAACAACAAGTTCAGCGATTTTATTTTCTCTTTGGTAATTTAGGCGTTTTGTTTTTTTAAATGCTTTATAAAAAAGTTTAAATGAGTAAAAAATCGATATCCACTTTGAAAAATCGATTCTGTCAAACATCGAACAGAAAAAGATCGGATGAAAAAAATCGATTTTTCGAGGCAAAAAAATCGATTCTGTAAAAATCGCATCGACATCGCCCGTTCCTAAGCTAATCGGTTGCAAGCGACGGCAGTGACCGCTCTTCTGTCGTCTCGATACCGCTATTCTGGTCTCCTGCAGTCTTCCACGACGACAGAGAATCGCCACTACTCATGCAAGGTGATTGTGGAAAGGACGACAGTGATGCTGCTTGTACCTCAGTGGGCTTGGCGTAGACTTGACGGATATCGTATGGGTTGAAGCTGTAAATAAAAGGCCCTCTGATGAGGCGACACAGCATTGGCCGGTCAATCATCAGGGATTTATTTATTGGGTTTACCTTTAGAAGGCCTTTCGTATTGTACGTAGCTCACGGTCTTTCCTGACCAGCGCATGCGTTTATTGAGCACTAATGGCGATGATACGAGCTCCTGCGTCCATTTATGATTGTGATGTATGGAGGCGTCCTCTTATTGCTCCAGGAATGGCGGTCTGATCATGAGGGAGGGTACATGCAACTATCCTGCAAAGAGCATGTTAGCCCACTGTTTTGCCTAGATCATGGCCTTGAATTTACCTTGAGAGACAGATCACGCTGATGACTCCTTCTGTCAATCAGGTGTGTGGTCCTCCTTCACGGGAACTTGATCTATCGCCACGTACTTTCAGCAACCACCGAAATTATTTCGCCAGCCCTTTTGACGCTAACCACACGATAGTAGTGCTTTAACAACAATACCCGTCCCATTGTCTACTACGGGTATTTGTTCTTGCAAAACGGCTGTGTGGACAGGAGCCGATCTCTTCCTATCGATGTATTTGATAACGCCGTGAGAGAGGATGTATAACAGATGATGAGTTGGGTAATTGGTTACCATAAACGGGATACACTTGAAGAAATTGGTGGCGCATTTTGTCGGCATCATCTCGAAATTTTTGTAACCCAACATCATTCAAACGGGAACGAAATGTTTGCGAGTGTGCAGAGTCGCAAAAATTTCGTCTGATCTATGACGATCAGATGTTGAAAAGGCTGATTGCTTCTTACTTTAAACAATCTCGAGCAGATCTTCTCCTTGTTGGACATCGAGTATAGTGGCGATATTTCCTTACGGTACTTCAATACATACTTATTAGCTATCGGTATTTTAATTCTTCTTCTTTTTTTCCTTTATTTAACGTCGGTCTCTGTTCCGCAATCTAGTGCCAATCACCGACGGACATCGATTGCCATCCATTGACGGCAACCGAATGTGCAGGAAGGCAGCTTCCACACCTGCGTAGAATAACGCACCCATTCACAACACACATGGGCCGGGACCAACGGCTTTACTTCCCTTCCGAAGGAAGACGTGACCAGAGATTTTTATGCCTCAGAAAAATCCCACCGACCTCGACTGGGATTGCACCCAGACCCATTGGGGTGTTAGAAAGCAGTCACGCTTACCTCTACACCACCGGCGCCGGCATACAGTATTTTAATTCTTGATACACCTTATTGTGACAGATCAATTCAAGAAAATATCTTATTCACCGCTTTTAGGCATAGCGGAAAATCTTTAACACTACATTGCTTATTCTACCCTAATTCTAAAGGCAATCGCGTCTTCAATATCTGAGTTACTGTTTAGTATTTGGGCGCCAGAGATTTTGCCGAGAAATACAATATTAAGGTCTGACTAATCGTTAATTAAGCAGCATGTGAGATATTGATTAAGTATTTAAGAGTTTGTGTAGCACATTGACTATTGCGTAATTGTTGGGCGTTCTTTTTTCAACCAGCCATGAGTGAGTGATCTTGTTGTTGTGTTTCAGCATGATCCCCCAAGGCCACTGCCAGCACAGAGGGGAGCGATTTCTCTCGACTCGCTAAACGGCATGCGCGGTTGCGCTTGTCCATCCGTTGGCTGTTATTCTTCCAAGCGATGAGGTGGTCGAGGCTGATGGATGAGTACTTCGATGACTGTTTGCTGATGACGAGGTTTCATTGATAGTTGTTGGGCCTGCAGTCGATCAGCAATCCAGGTTTTTTTTAGCGTAGTCGCTCTTAGTCAGACGGTAGAACTGCGTACATAGCTTGAACATGTGAAGGTTAATCTGCCTTGATGTCCTTCGAATGGTAGACACCGGTTTTCGATGTCTTTATATCCTCCAACAGGTAGTTGTTGCACCCTTGGACCTGCCGTACGATGCAGGGTATGAACTTCGCACCAAGCTTTTTTGTTCGATGTTCAGCTGCGTTTGACAATTCGAACGATCGTCTCCATACTATCTCGCCGACGGCGAATCCTCGGTTTCTTGCTCGAAGGTCGTAGCGCTGCTTGCTGGTGTCGTGAGCTGCCTTGATTCGGGATAATACGAAGTGTTGAATGTTTTGTGCCGCTGCGAATCGTACTTCGTGTGCCTTGGCAGGATCTTCCGCGGAATTCATCTTGGCCAGTGGATATTGCTCCGTGAACAGGATGTGATCCCTCCCGAAATTGCAGTAGTAAGGGCTGCACCCGAGTGTTTCGTGTTTCGCTGTGTTGATTGCGCAAACCACTTGCTGTATGTGCACATCCCAGTCCCGTTGGTCATCGTCCAGGAGGGATCTTACGCAGGTGATAAGCGTGCCATTGGTCCGCTCAGCAGTGTTGCACATCGGTGTGTAAAAAGCGGTCCTCATGTGGATTACGTTGTATTTTTTGAGCAAAGTTTGAAATACCAGTGCGAGAAATTGCGATCCAGAGTCCGAAACGATGATCCTTGGCGTTGAAAACCGAAGAAACACGTATTGCTCCAGAAAATCAGACATCTTTTGGGCGTTTGCTGAACGAAATGGTTCCGTGATGACGAATTTAGTTATCCAATCAACAATCACTAGGAGTACCGTATTCCCCTTTTTCGATCGTGTGAGAGGACCTACCCAATCGATTGAAATCAGCTCCCATGGTAAGTGAGCAGGTTTGGGGTTTCCTAGTGTGGGTGTCAGCGTTGTATTGGGTGCCTTGCTGGCTTTGCATACGTCACAGGCTTGTACATATTTGCGGATGTCCGTTGCCATTTGGGGCCAGTAGAAGTCTCGTTGAATGCGATAAAGTGTGCGATCGCACCCGAGGTGAGCTGCTGTAGGAATATCATGATATCGGTGTATGAGTTCCTGACGTAGATACGTAGGGATAACCTTCTTCCAACGATGACATTTGCCTCCTGTTTCGTCCTTCATGATGCAGTTTTTATATAGATTTTGTACGATGATCCTGAAGTCTGGAAAACTATTCGAATCCGATTGAACCTCCTCCATTAGCTTGTCGAACCACGGATCTGCGGTTACAGCGTTGACTATCTCCACCCGACTCAGGCAATCTGGAACGACATTTGAACTTCCTTTGCGAACCTTTTTTTTTTTTTTCCTTTGGTTTGTTTTTTCCGTCGATCTTGTTTTCCGTGCTGGAGCACCAATGCTACCGACGTGCCAGGAAGGCAGCTCCCACACCTGGACCCTACCTATCGACCCATCAACTCATGAACCGGGGACCAACGGCTTTACTTCCCATCCGAAGGAAGGCGTGATCAGAGATGTTATGCCTCAGAACATCCCGGCGGCGCCGACTGGGATTGAACCCAGGCCTTCTGGGGTGAGAGGTAATCACGCTTACCACTACACCACCGGCGCCGTTAATTTTGCGAACCTTTATATCGAAAGAGTACGCATTCATACGAAGAATCCATCTAGCTAGTAGTGGTGTGGGATTTTTCATCGTCTTCAGGTAGGTTAAGCTTGAGTGATCGCAGAACACTGTGAAATTCGTGCCTTCGAGGTATCCTCGGAATTTTTCGATAGACCGGATCACCGCAAGACACTCTCTCTGTGTCACTGAATACTTCCTTTCGGCTGATGAGAGTTTCTGTGAGAAATAGGAAATTACTTTCTCGCCTCCCTCGTAGTTTAGCGTTGGAGTTGCCAATACTGGTGTCGAAATGAGGTGTGATTTGAGTGACTGGAAAGCTTTCTCACATTCCTCTGTCCATATGAATTTTGTTTTTGCTTTCGTTAGTTCCGTTAGCGGGACAGCTGTTTGTGAAAAGTCTTTTATAAACCTTTTGTACCATCCGCACATCCCGATGAACCGCTGAACTTCCTTCTTGTTGGTGGGAGCCGGAAACTTACTGATCGCTTCCACTTTGTCCTCATCTACGTGCCATCCATTCAGCAGGAGGTCGAGGCAAGTCGTTTGGCGTCAAGCATACACACTTAATTTTTTCTACCGAGCTCGGCTGTGCAAATCTCGGCAAAAATAAGTTTCACTGAGATCTAAGCAAAAGTGACATTTGATTGCTAAATCTCGGATAATGCTTAGCTGAATCTCAGCAAAAATTGAAATGGTTGATGAGATCTCAGTGATTTTTTACCGAGATTTGCACAGCCGAGCTCGGTAGATAAAACTGAGTGTGTAGATTTACAGTTCCTACACCTCACCCTGATTCCAAAAATATCCATATTGTGGGGTATTTAGCAATATTTGCAAAAACCTCTTTTGACGAAGTAAATCCCAAATAACGAGGTTTTCTTAACGCATTAATTCGATTTACGAACCCCCGGTTTGTTTCGTAAATGGAGGTTCCAGTGTAGAATCAACGGGCAAATACATCGGGACGAGTGCCTCCAGCAGCACCTCCTACCCTTCCTGCAGTCTCATGGAGGCGAGACGCTGTTTTGTCCATTCGACCTTTTGTCTCTCTTTAATTTGATCTTTTGTAACCTTTGACCTTTTATCCATTCAACCTTTTATCCAAACGGTGCCAGTGGTGTAGTGGTAAGCGTGATTACCTCTCACTCCAGCAGGCCTGGGTGCAATTCTAGTCGGCACGGAAAATAAATCAAGGGAAAAAACCTTTTATCCATTCAATATTTTGTCTTTCGAGCTTTTGTCAAAGATTCTTCATGAAAGTCTTTCTTTTTACATGCTGATTTGACTGGACTGGACTGGATTTTTGAAATCTTCGAGCGATAGTTTTGTTTTGTTTGAGGCGATGGGAGCTGCTGTTTCGGATAACTTGAAAGTCATAACAAGCGATTTTTTTTTCAATGGAGATTTTTATTTTTTTAAAGAATTGTTTCCATAGCATTGCCGCTTCAATAGTTATTATCGTATGTTTTTAACTGTTACTTTAAAGATTACCGATTACAATTAGGGACCCTTCTTTGAATCCAAGTTTTATACAAATTCAGTACTGTTTCTGGTTTGTTTTGATTCCTACAAGCTAATGATGCCTTCCTATGCGCTAATATTTGCAGGTTTCTGTTTGTGAATTAATGTAAGAATCGCTGAAATTTCTCACCCCTTTCGTATCTCGTAGTGTGTTGCTTCTTGCTTAGCGGACATGTAAAAAAAAAGTCTCATCTGTACAACTCTCCACTCCGCCGCATAGCGATTGAACTTTGATGACTTAAAAGCTACAATTTCAATCTTTCTCTCATGCGTGTTGTGATGACTTGATTTCCGGCTTTTCCGAAACATAACTTATCGACTAACGTCGGCAAAAACTGCCGTTAAATTACAACAATACTTTTCGAAAGCCTTTTTATTTCAAATCAACAGAAAGCGTTCAACGTAGAAAACAATGCCGTTTCTTTTCCGATACGTGTGTGCCAATTGCGCTAAATAAATTTAAAACTAATCAAGAGCTCGCATTTTCACTATACATATTCCACTAAGTTTAATCAGTCAATGCTCTTCTCTCACAGGAATTTGCTTACAAGCGATTTAATGTTTCGTTTTGCGACGTTTGCTTTTTGGCTTTAAACCTAACTTTAATATCTAGGTGAATTTTGATTGGGTTCGAAGGGAAACCCAAGAGTCAGAAATCAGTCATCATTTGCTGCTAACAGGCGATAAACCAAACGTTTTGAAACACAAGAAATGGTCAACACTTCCTTCCTCTGATGAGAGTTTCCTAGTCAAGTTTAGTTGCATCTATCTCTGTTGTTTAAATAAAAACGTTTTCTTTTTCTTTTTCAATTGCAAATGTCGTTTTTAGTAGAAAACTTCTTAATCTTAATACATTTCTTTATTCTCTCCAATGTACACAGTACACAATTTTTGTTTTCGCTTACTTACACGGTTTACAACATACAAACAAAACTAATAAGGATTCAACAAACATCACGTACACTTAGAAATGCTGGGGAAGGGAATTATGGGGAGTTTGGGGTGGTACAATTGATGAGCCTCAAGATTGCAATTTTTCTGCTTTTGTTTATTATTATTATTATTATTCAACTGGAAGGAGACAACTAAAACGGTGGGTTGCTTGGGTTACTGCGATTAAAAAAGAACTAACAACGAACGTAGGGTTTCACGTCGCTTAGGGACCACCCTAATGCAGCTACTAATGCTTAGACTTACGACTATTTGTGCTCCCATTGCTGTCTGTTGATGAGCCAAAATGTTTTCCGTGTTTTCTGGTATTTGTAGATTGTAGGTTATTTTCGAAGAAACAGAAGCTGACGAGCCTGCTACGCGCTCTCTCTCTCTATATATATATCCGTTCACTACGCTGATTTGTATCGGCTTGCTTGAAATTGCATAGAAAATATGTATCTCAGAGTAGGTTGTAACTGTTTTTCTTTTTTTTTTCTTTTTTGGCCACCGTAAAATTGTTCCTTTCATTTCTTTTCCCGGTTATGCACGTGGATTACCAGCTCTGGAGCTGCGTTTGATGCTGTCCTGGTTTCCTGTTTTTACTTTGCTTTGTTTTGCTATTATAGCTTTCTCGTTAAAATAGTGCTTATCGTTAAAGTAGTTTCAATTTTCATCTTACTTCGTATTAAATGTATGTACTTGGTTATCCTTAAATCTGATAGAGACGAAGAGTTAAACTTTTGTTACCGAAAAATCTATAAATATATGGTTTGTAGATTTTCCGTAGTTCTTCCCTTGTATTCTGAAAAAAGCACCGATCTTCAGCTAACTTGTATTTATTTGTTATTTTTTAAGTTGTGTTTTAAATTTGTTCAAGTTTTGTTTTTTTTTTCCTTTAATTTTAATGTAACGTAGATTTTTATTTTTTATTTTCTGTTCAATGTACATCATTCTGAGGTGGCTTTCTTACCTAATGTTGGTGTCAAGCAAGAACAGCCCGAGGCTCGAATATCAATCTTGAAATTTGTCATTTTTCTATTGGCAATCTGGTTTCGATAATTTTACGTAAATTTCTATGGACAGTCGCTTTGGTTCAACGAACGTTGCCGGAAGGTCGATTGTTGGTGGAAGTGCTTTTGTTTTGACCAAGCAGTGAGACAATGTTTGTTATATCAAGGTTTCCTTGGATGATTGTTATTAAGAAAATATGCATTTTCGACTACAAAAACACAGGATTAGATTAAGTGACCCAGTTTTGCGTGTAACACAATAGATGCCCTACTCTTCAGGTTTGACATAAAATAAATATTTTAATGTTCCAAGATATGTGAGAAATGAGAATTTCCATAATAATGCTTTATATCGTATGACCTTGAAAGCCATTTAAAATCTGTCGTTTAACGCCTTAAAATACTTAACAAGTATATTTGGCCAACATTTAGCGTGTAGCTGCCAATTTCCGCAGGCTAAAACGATCTTATTGACAGAATCCATTCGTCTATGTACGGTTCTGTTTCATTTTCCCCGACAGAACTAAATTCTAAATTTATTTGATTTTTATGGCAACCGACGCCGGTGGTGTAGTGGTAAACGTGACAGCTTTATTACCCCAATGGGACTGGGCTCAATCCCAACCGAGGTCAGTGGGATTTTTCTGAGACATAAAAAT